CAACCCCCAACCTGGAGGGCCAGGAGACTGTGTTCGTCAGACCTCTAACCATTGACCAACCTGGTGTGAGAGACTCTGTGAGTGTCGCGGGACACTCTCCAGTATAGCTCAATGGATCGCTGAGGTGCGCAAACCGTCACACCACGGTAAGGTCCAGCCTCTTCGTGACGGAAGCGGTATAGTGCACTAGAGTGACATCTAGTGGCCAACGTGTTTGTAGGGTTCTGCGTGACTTATCAGACGGTCTCGCGTCTTCTTGAACAGGACAGTTACCCCTACATACAAACCAGTCGCTCTTGACATATGTACACAAAGGCGAGTTTTATCATTGAATGTATGAAAAAAAGTGGTGCGAACTGATTGAGTGAACACAGTCAGCTCGCTGAACGCCGGTTATAATGACTGACCACGGAAGAATGTAGGCCGAATTTTGAACGTACTGTTAGCTGCAGCTGAGCGAAGCGCGAGTATGGGGAATAACTAGACCCGACAGCAATAAGCGAAGCCATTCAGAGCAGAACGTCGTCGTGTTTGAGAATTGCGTTTGACAAAATGTACGAAAAAAGGAATGCACCAAAGATGTATCGCTACCGGATTAAGCCTCTGTCTAATAGAATGCAGCTGGTGGATGGATGATATAAGTCATCCAGACGAAAGCCAATCGAACAAGGCAGACATGAGAAGATTCCGAATGTCAGTAGTGTATTACAACGAGGGTCTTCGTTACAGCTGAAAGTTCGGTGACCACAATTCAGAATGTCACCTGTTTTATCATAAAGGGACGGAAAAGCCGTTATTATTCTCAGGTGTCATATACTTCACTGGGTGGGCAGTTGATTTGGACAGAGAGCTTCAGCCGTGTGACTTTTTCTTTGTGTAACGACCCTCACTAATGCAACCGAATGCCCGTGTATGAATCAAACCCACTATGTAACAGTACTAACAGAAAGTGCGCAAGGCTGGCTTACGGATACCTTGCCACGTACTTCACTTTTCTGCCGAAATCCCGCCACGACGTAGTCACGCTACACGTGTACAAAAAACCGGCTAATAATGTCCCTAATTCGATTCATGTTAAAACGTGCATGTCTTGTGCGTTCCATCATAATAGGAAATTGCCGAAAAATCTTACAAAATTTATTGAAAGAAGTGAACTGAGCTAAGACCTATGTTCAGAAACTTGAACCGGAACTTCTGGTGTCAGAAGAAAATAAACCTTTCGCTGAGTTGGAATGACGTCTACGGCGTCAACAATTCTGGGACGGCCGTCTCGTTAGCGGGAAATTACTGTAATAAGTTACAAAGAACTAATGAACCGTTGCACGTGTTATACTCACCCTTTTCTGTTCATTCTGCGACCTCGTAAATTTCCAGAGGCATACATGAGTGGTGATCAACATAGTTATATTTCGGATATAGTTAACTGTACAATTTACGTGAAGCCATTATCGGGAATGTCGTGACAGCGGGCTTCTACCCGAGGAAGATACGACTAAAGAATGATTTGAGTATCTGGGACTGTTTGATGGTCCGCGACGAACGTCACTGAGCTCCACGGGAACGGATTTTCGAGGAGATGAACGACTGGCCTGATCGCGCTTCTGTGAAGAGACATGAATAAACAACACCGTTAAATGAGTAGAAGAGAAGTGATGTCATGAGTTGCCCTGAGACAAGATGGAATTCCGTCACAGGTGGCATATATTGATAAGTAGACCAGATAAGCATTTCCGGGATGCGGACTGTCGTAAGTCCAGTAATAACAGCTGGTAGTATGGTGACCAAATAAAGGACATCTTTAGGAAAAGGAATGAACGACTGAACCATAGAGATAAAAGTTGCCCATGGGGGCTGAAAATGTTTGGTACGTGCGTAGCAGACAAATGTCATGAAAGCAAGGATATAAAAAAGGAGTAACACGGATGAATCGGTCCGACTCTTGTTATCGAGACAGACTGGCGACTGTTGTTCCTTTATTCTGACGAAATCATCTTCCCTCTGTAAACCCTTTTCGCTTCACATTCGTTGAAGTTACTAGCAGCGCGCGTGGGCGATTGCAACCATGGACTGACCAAACGTGCTGACTGGCTCTCCTCGGAAGTCACTGTCCGACCAGATGCTGTCATCTGATGTGTTCGTTCGTTTTTAGTTTATCGGTAATTCGTTGACAAATAGCCTGCTCTTGTCACAAGAGATATAGCAAAGACCACATCGATACATCACTAATGACGACTTTCTCCTGGCGAAGAACTGGCCAACTTCGAGGGCTGTTATCATCCGGGGATGGACACCTAGTCTACGCACATATGGATGGAGGACAGCCCTTGCTGCCGTTTGCGTGATATTACTACCCAAGCCCATAGGAGCATGATGCGGTCAACTTGTTGAAAGCCAGAGATAGATTACCTCCATTTACAACATGCACAGTCCAACACCGTTATTCGCCACCAGGTAAGGTTAGGTGTACATATGAACCAGGAGGTCTGGTGGGTTCAGAAAACCGGAGAAATAGAAGCATAAAGTACCGAAAACGTTCACTGGTGGTTACACGGGCTCTCAGACACCCCTTTGTCAAAGAAACCATCAGAAACCACAACGGCGCCCTGATATTAGCAAAGAAGAACATTGGAAATGTCAAACAAAATACTTGGAATACTTCAGGTTGAGGCTTGCTATTTCCTACCCAGCACGTCGGTCTGTTACGGAAAATTGAAATGTGAATGTGAAAACGTTTTCAGCCATAGAGGTGCATGGATTATTCAAGAGTCATCGAGTTCCCGTTCCTGATGGCCTTCCACCTGCTCTGTTCACGAAAGTTCCCCAATTCATTGTCCAACTTAATTCACATCCAGTCGGTAATAGTGCACACCCACAAAACGGGTATTCGCAACGAACCCGAATCTACGGAGGTGTCCGTTTGACTTCTGTTGTAACAAGTCTACTAGTGCAACTAATTTTTGTCTAACTGCAGTGTGCGAAACCTTAACCCGTGAGCGCCAACCGAGATTCCGACCGGGTAGAGCTTGCGTCAACCATATCTCCATTCTGTCAGCTGTACGGCAGCACCATACGTACGGAATACCCGAAATATTGTTCGCTAACTTAGAGGGTGCTTTCGATTCTGTCAACCGGTGAGCATTTCTGACCATGTTTGCTCAACAGGGGATGCCATAGAAGTTCGTAAACATGAAGTCATTAGGATAGATTCCCAAAATGTTCCCTGCAAACAGTGGTGTCCGACAACGCCATTCCTGTTCAACTTCGCCATCGATGAAATGACAAGGTGAACGCCCAACCATCTTCAAGACTCCAGTGTCAAGTCGCTGCTGGTGGGAACTTTGTCCCTCTAGAGCATGCAGAAAACATCGTTCTGATCTTTAAGAAAAACATAAACCACGTGCTGTTCGGCACGCGTTTTACTCCTACGGTGTGCAAAAAGTCACCCTTCAGAATGTGCATCCTTTGAACATACCTCTTGCAACTAGTGGAGAAGCCTTAGAGGGTGAGTTTTTTACATACTCCGGTAGACGAAATGAATCTGCCTATTGAAGTTTGTGGACGAATTTCGAAGGCCTAAGTTACGTTTGCCAATTTGCGAATTTTGTGACATTAAAGAGGTCTATCACTGGGTTTCAACGGCTGCGCATACCAGTCTACGGTAAAAGTAATGTTGCTGCACTGACGGGGGACTTCGCATCTGAGAGAAGATTACCTCACGCGTCTGCACGTTCTTGTTTGAGAAGCGTTGCTGGTATAGGATGGCGTCCATGAGTTCACAGCGACGTAGTTAGAAATCGGAAGTCCTGTTGTCCGACGAGTAACCCAATCGCGGAACACATCCACTATCACCAACTGCGGTGGCTCAGGCATGTGTTATGCACGTCGAACAAACGCCGATAAATGTTTCAATAATCGTCTACCGAGACTAATTTTGTTTTCCGTGCGTCTTTTAGAACGGCATAGAATGCGGGGTGGATGTGTGGCTTGGAAAGTTGTTGATAGCAAAATAAGGAAAAGTGCGGTGCTGGTGGTATGATGCGCTTTTCATGAGGGGGTCCAGAAACTTCCCTATTTGTCTTATCTGGAGACAGGTATGGTGGCTAGCAGATATCCATCATGTATATGTTGTACTTTCTGTCTACATTGTCCGGTTAAACATTCGGAGAGTGTGGACTATACAGACTATCGCCAGATCTCTTCCGTCTTTTTTATCTTATGGCTCTAGATACAACTAAGTAAACTTTGTGATTGTACGGCAGCGACGCATGAGTGTCGTCTGTAACGATGTTGCCACCTATATTGATGATGGGCTCCAGGAGGATGATCGACTTTGGAGTCTCCACCTGGAGCCTTCGACAGAAGAAGCCGAACAATGCAATGTAATAAATTATGGAGAATGTACATTCTTCAGTGCCGATGGACGACAATTCGGTTCACACACACATTAAAAAGTAGTAAAATTACAGAAAACTAAATTGAAACGAAAAAGTATTGTCTTTTACCTATTGGTTAAGAAAAAACCTGCTCTGTTTGCCAGTGACTACACGACAAAGAGCATCGGTACATATTTTTAACGGAAAACACTACTCATGAAGTTACTGAAAACACTTTGACAGCCCACAGCCGGCTTCAACTTCCTCGATATTCATCAGATAGTCGGGCCTCCGAGTTTCCATCAACATTCTGATCTACTTGAATGCCTAATTGTGCCAAATGGTGAAACACATTTGTCGATAGGAGACAAAGTGGTGTTAAATTAGAACATGAGATTGACGGAAAGTTGCGCACTGAGCCTACCTAGTGAGCTCCAAGAAGACCCGACCGGTCATGACCTTATGAGAAGTATGTTCTGTCAAGAAAACAAGCTACGATATCCCGAATATTGTACCAAAGGGAAAATATAAAGTTGTGTAGTGCCATCAGCTGAAGGGTACCACAAACGAAAGATTCAGCCGGGCTTCAGGTGAGTCTCTCAATAACACCAAATTACTTTGCGAATGAATGTGTTTCGACAGGCGAGCAGCCGTATACTTGGTGTGCACACCATACTTTTTGGAGGTGCTAGCCTTGACAATTAGAAACGACCGCTAATGGAAGCCGTGGACCACTTCTCATCAGATAATTTGAAAAACAAGATTAACAGCTATCCCAGAATGTTTCGTTGGTTCACCCTGCCAAAGAATTTTACTAACTTTCAAAAGTCTCATGCGCAACTGCTCCTCACGCCGTCGAAGTAGTTGTTGAAGCAACACCTCTGAAGGGTCGATCGACATGGAGACAGCAGCGTTTGTCGAAGGGCTGGGCAAATTACGAGTTGGACTGGTACTGCTTTCATGTGTACTTGCTGGGGACACAGGAGAACGTAATTCGGTGTCAAGTCTCCGCGAAGAGGAAACTTTGGGAACAGACACTCTAGCAGCGATCACCTCTGCTTCAGCTGCCGCCTTCTCTGCCGCAACCAGACGCGCAGCGCGCCTGTTGGCCACAATCGCATCGTGGCGGGCCTAGGAGAAGAGGGTAGAAAAAACGTTACAAGAATTTTAGACACAAAGAAAACCATAGTTGCTGGATCAAGATGTTCAAAAAGTCGACTGTCAACGTAAACAGACGAGAATAAAGGCTAGTTGAAGTTAGCACTCCGTGAGTAAGTTCGACAATACGGGAATCAATGAAACTGCTTGTGTCAGCCAACGAACGACACAGTTCGGGATATCCCACAATTTCTGGTTAAAAAACGACCGAAGATATTTTGTCATTAGAGTCCCGAAGGGATCAACAAAAACTAAAGTAAATGTATCAGCACAGAAGGACGATCGAGTACTGGGAATACCGTGTGATTAGGTTTTACCAAGGAATAAGGTAGTAAACCATACTCAGCTCACCGAGAGAATAAATAAGCGCGACAATAAATTCACCATTTGTGTAAATGAATCAGAGGTATTCATTGACCTGGGTGCTTCGGCATAGAGACTGTGCAGCAGCATCTAAGATAGCAGCCTAGAAGCATCAAAACAGCGAATCCTCATGTTAAGAGATTTAGCCTTCATTTAGACTAAAATCGCCATTACTGAAAAGCGCTTTTGGGTGCCGATTCCATTACTTTCTTCGGCGCACATCATAGCACAAAAGGTAGATGATCTATTACGCTCCATTTAACCAAGAGCTTCATTGTAAGGTCAAACCAGGATAACCAGTTATGGCAAGGCCACTCCCGAAAGAAGTTATCTACAAAGCAACTGTGTGAACAAGAGAGTGTGAGAGACTGCAGTTACTTTAGACGTGGCGGAAAATGAATCGAATATGCCGATAGGATAGTTCATCAGCGCGCATTTTATCCTGTACAAGAACCAGGAATCCTTAAAATCAAGAGCAACAGTCAATTAATATAGGACAGGGTTACATGGAAGAAAGTCTTAATAACCAAACGGAAAACCGAAGGGAAAAGATACCCGGTGGAGTGCCAAACAGATGAAGTTAAGAAATCATCCTCCAATAGGCGGAGGTACTATCTGTGTCTCAGTTAGTACATCCATGACCATCTAGACCCATTATGGCCATTTAAACTTTTCAAATCCCATTTATATCTCTAAGAGTGCTTTGGTTATTTTATCCCGCAACCCAGCACCCTCCCTAATTCGCTCGCGCTTATCTAGCTTAATGGCAGCACCGGTATGGCACAAAGCTGAACCTGGCGGCAGCGACCACACCGGTAGGATATAAGACAACTAGTCATCAAAAAGTACCTGATCTAAAAAACTTGGAAGTCACCGGGTATTCGCGAACCCATCTTCAAAAGTTCAAATTTGTGGTCTGTGCACTGTCCTTGAGGAACCTAATCATCATTCAACACCAGAAAAAACAGTGTCCATGCAGACAGAGAAGCTTGATGGCTCAAAAAGGCCGAAGATAGGCAAGAAACGAGAAAAGCTGGAAACGTCCGCATTTGGTTCGATCGAATGGTGCTTGGAAGCCCCTTGTCAGTGAAACTAACAGAGACCAAAATGGTACTGTCAAATCGGAACGTTTAGACGGTTGGGGACGGTACTTCGAACGATTCAGTTGGCTACATGCTACATCCAATCGGAAATGCCGGACTTCAACAAAAAGGTGGACTGTGAATATGACAACCCCTTCACCCTCAGAAATGTCTGAGGGTACACCTCTCATCAAACATTGTCGTGCTCCTGACCCTGACGATCTTTCACCTGCTCTATTCGAGGATGCCGTTGAATTTCTCAGCCAGCACCAGCCTAACCTAACTGCGTCTATCTGAGGGAGAGATCATTCCAGACAACTGGTGTGGATCGGTAGTAGTGCTCATTCTCAAAAAAGGCACTCGTAGTGAATGTAGTAACCACAGAAATATCAGTCTGACTTCCGTTGTTCATTTTCGTCATCGATGAACTTATGAGGTGAACGCTGGAAGGTCTGAAAAAACTTCGGTGTTCAAATGTTGCTGTTGAGAACATGTCTATCTGAAGTACATAGACGACACCGCCCTCATATTTGAGGACGAAGCACAAACCCTGTTGAATGAAATGACCACCACCATATAATCGTTCGGCATGCACCTTGCACCTTCAAAGTACACAGTCATGCTTCATAATGTGTAGTCTTTGAACGTACCCTTGCAATCGCTGGAGGATGTGGGTGTAATTAAGTTAATTCGATTAATCAGCTATAAACCGTGTACCATAGGCGCAGTGGTTCCAGCTGCTAGTTTCGACCACCTGAAAGAGGAAGAGTACGAAACATACAACCTCCGAGGCGTTAGCATATTTGGTTAGTTCGGGAACTTGGGAGCTACGCAGTGAAGGCTATAGCTTTGATGCACGAGAGCCACTGAGTGCGCGATTAGGTCATTTCCACCAGTGTCATTAACCATTGGTGAGTTGGGTCCCGGGGTCCCAATCCAGAGTAACGACAGTTGTCGACCCGACTCGACTTACTGGTTAGTGTTTTCATACTTTGTTGAAAGATCACACACTGTTCACCTCTCGGTCGCTTCCACCCAGCACATGGCTTGGCGAAAAGAGCTATGCGAGGCAGATGGTATTCTGGTATTCGGAGTACACGTTTTAACGAGCGCAAACTATGAAGCATAATTCATCTATCGCACAGGAGTTCCTTCTTCCTAGGACTATTTGGCATTATCATTATCATTACCATTATCATTATCACTAATCCGATGTTCCTACCAGACCGCCCAATGCTTCGGAGGCACAGATGGTCAAACACTGACATCTTTTGTATGTCCTCTGCGCGTATAGGCCACGTCCCTGATCCACAAAGCAGTATGGATCGCATGGACGCAGTGTAAACTCTGCCCCTGACGGACAAATTCGGCGGCATAGGTTGTAAAGAGACGCCCCGGACTTCCCGATTCGAGAGATAATCTCACCTCCAGTCAGTCTAGTGGAATGTATACAACGGTCCAAGTAAACAAATTTATCTACTAAGTCGATTGGTTGGTCTACAAACATGAGGTCTGTGTCTGATCTCACTAATTTATGCAGCAGCACTTTACACTTTGGAGTTCGCATACAGTGCCCTCATGAGGGATCGCGAGACGCCGCCTGAGTTTCTGATGCGGCTGTTGCCTGAAGCGAAAGCCTTCTCCATCTCCTGGGCTTTCGAAATCCACCGGCCTTTTAATCAGCTAAAACCGTGTACCATAGGCGCAGTGGTTCCAGCTGCTAGTTTCGACCACCTGAAAGAGGAAGAGTACGAAACATACAACCTCCGAGGCGTTAGCATATTTGGTTAGTTCGGGAACTTGGGAGCTACGCAGTGAAGGCTATAGCTTTGATGCACGAGAGCCACTGAGTGCGCGATTAGGTCATTTCCACCAGTGTCATTAACCATTGGTGAGTTGGGTCCCGGGGTCCCAATCCAGAGTAACGACAGTTGTCGACCCGACTCGACTTACTGGTTAGTGTTTTCATACTTTGTTGAAAGATCACACACTGTTCACCTCTCGGTCGCTTCCACCCAGCACATGGCTTGGCGAAAAGAGCTATGCGAGGCAGATGGTATTCTGGTATTCGGAGTACACGTTTTAACGAGCGCAAACTATGAAGCATAATTCATCTATCGCACAGGAGTTCCTTCTTCCTAGGACTATTTGGCATTATCATTATCATTACCATTATCATTATCACTAATCCGATGTTCCTACCAGACCGCCCAATGCTTCGGAGGCACAGATGGTCAAACACTGACATCTTTTGTATGTCCTCTGCGCGTATAGGCCACGTCCCTGATCCACAAAGCAGTATGGATCGCATGGACGCAGTGTAAACTCTGCCCCTGACGGACAAATTCGGCGGCATAGGTTGTAAAGAGACGCCCCGGACTTCCCGATTCGAGAGATAATCTCACCTCCAGTCAGTCTAGTGGAATGTATACAACGGTCCAAGTAAACAAATTTATCTACTAAGTCGATTGGTTGGTCTACAAACATGAGGTCTGTGTCTGATCTCACTAATTTATGCAGCAGCACTTTACACTTTGGAGTTCGCATACAGTGCCCTCATGAGGGATCGCGAGACGCCGCCTGAGTTTCTGATGCGGCTGTTGCCTGAAGCGAAAGCCTTCTCCATCTCCTGGGCTTTCGAAATCCACCGGCCTTTATCAATCTTCGAGCTTATCCGGTGTTTGAGGGACCTGTGTGTGTCATCACAGTAGCTAGGTGCTGGTATGACCTTTCTGGCAACAATAAGATATGCTGATCTTGACATCTAGTATCCATTTAGTCGTGTCAGATAGCCTAGGCAAGCAGTCCTGTAAGCTGACAGCATAGCTTCTATAGCCTGCTTTCATTCAGCCACCAGGCAATCTTCGTCATCTGCATCACTATGCGTTTCCATTAGCTTTATAACCAGATCAGATCGATAGTCTTCAGCTACGGAATACTGGAACTGCTCTGCTTTCGTATGAGTAATGCTGGCGAAAAGCGGTGATAACCAGGCCCGTAAGATGGCACGATCAGAGTCAAGTTGCGTACCCCGGGAAGGACGACAATCTTTAATTGAGGCACTCCATCACCATCAGTGTTGACAGTGATGATTCACTGACGTACAACCATAAGGTTCGTCCAGTTATATATATATATATATATATATATATATATATATAATTATATTAAAAGCCATAGAGTGAAAAGATGAGAAAGAGTGGGTGAGGGAGGCGACCTAATGCTGGCCTATGTCAAGCATACTGAAGTGCCTACACCTCCAACCCACATCGATTAGCCACCATTTCTAGCAACATCTCCAGACAAGCACAGACGGGGTTACGGGAACCCCATCCTGGAAGGTGTACAACACCAACAACACCTAAACTCTTCCTGATCGCTTTCACGCCCCTCTGCCAATTCATGCGTTGTCCACCCAGCGGTTGTCGCCATCCCGAAAGAGGCACGGAGAACAACACTCGTCTCGGTAGACGGTGTTTTGGCATGCATAGCTAATGACCGAGTCATCGTGGTCGGTTGTGCTGGATATTTTCCCGCACAACCAAATGCCCGTTTTCTAATTACCTCGTTACTAATACGCTGACGCCATCTAAAACCAACCACGCTTCTGAGGCATCAATGGTCGAAAACCTGAAGACGCTCCACATCATCTGTCCACAGAGGCCACGTATCGCACCCATACAACAACACAGCCCTTACTGTAGCCTGGTACACACGACCCTTAAGATCCAGTGAGATGCCTTTTTGACACCACAAGTGACGCAAATTAGCAAACGTGATTCGAGCCTTTGAGATTCTTGCACTTTATTCGACACACTTCCGTCAGAGCTAATACAAATACCGAAGTGTGTAAAGTTTTCCACAATCTCCAGTGATTCTCCTTGAATTGTAAGGGATATGTTCTCAGATGGCACGTTCTGAAGCATGACTCAAACCTCTCACCTGCTTACTTCAGTGTGTGGATAAGTAGACAGGCTTTCGGGGTTTGAAAACAGACTTTGAAGTGTTAAGGGTTGTGACTGAACAGATGATGCACAGATGATGCAGCTGAGTGTGATGCAGGGTGAAAAAAACGGTGAGTCCTACAGCCGGGACTGGAGAAAGTGTTCAAATTTGGGCGGCGGTGGGTGGAACACGGAAAACGTGAAAGTGTAAGAAAGAAGGCATCAGTAGTAGCATTGTTCGCCTAACCGCCCTGCTATATGCAGCAAGTAAGGCGATCCAGCTGATGGCGTCAAGCGATGGCCGATGTGGTATGAGAAGTACTGTTAGTTGTAAGTGTCATGATTGTACGAGGGCTGGGAAACTGCCAGGGAGCAAACAACTGGACAGGATGACGATTAGGGTCCTCAACCAAAGCCTAACCGCAAGGCAGCGGTTTTTGGCTGTAAATGCAAGTGGAACGCGTCGCCACACATTTTCAAACACCCCAACCAGCAGGACAAGGAGACTGTGTTCGTCAGACCTCTATCCATGAACCAACCTGGTATGAGGGACTCTGTATGTCGTGCGGACATCCCCTAGTATAGCTCAATGGGTTGCCGACGTACATAAACCGCCACACCACGGTAAGGTTCAGTCACTTCTCCATTGGTAAGTGATAGCCAAACAATCCAACTGAGTCCATGACTGTTTTGCGGTTGGTGGCCTTAAAGTAACTCGATGTGAGCGTTGTTCGTACTGGAATGGAACGAACGATGGTAAGCATAAAACTGAAACAGTCAATCTGCATTACCCATACGCTGGGCATCGAATCCAAACCTTCTACCCAACTGTACTTCCTCCGGACTTAGTTGCCAACTTAGACATTCATACCACCCGCCAGGATTACCATATCCGTCTTTCTCGCTGACCGCAGCAGTCGCGACAGGTCTTGATAAAGCCCAGAACTGCAGTCTGTCAGGCCGTATGCTGATACGACAAATAAACATCGTTTACTGCACCCACCCGCATGGATCTTAATTGAGCCAGACAACTGCACAGCGCAAAGAAAACTATTTGCTGGGATCCAGTCCAGTAAAATGCTTTCGGCCTTGGGGCTGTGCAACTCCCACACCGTACATACCACGAGCGATTGCGCCAGGGCCACCGGATACTCGAAGAGTGGGACGTAGAGCATCTGAGCTCAGTCTTAGTAGCTTGAGGTGCGCAATCAAAGTGTGGTTTTGTATGCGTCTTTCGGAGATACGACATACATCGAAAGGAAGGGAAAGCAAGGTTTCAGCAAGAGATGAATCGGTGGTTAGACCGCGAAGGACTAGAATGTCCGTGGTTCCAACCCGATTTCTCCCGTCCAGTATTAGGCAACCTAGCAGTTAGGCACTGAAATGGTGTAACAGCCAACAATTATTATATTTATTGGTCGTTGGCTTGTTCGCTGAGCTGGGCAATTCGATAGCTAACGTTTCATCACCAATTGAGGTGACATTATCACTGCGTTATTGGGGAGCGTAGGTATTGGTGCATAGCGGTGGTTAGTGGTTGCAAGAGACACCTGTTGCCTCATTTGACATAGGGCACGGACATTAAAGGCTGCGAAGTGGATCGGATGCTTTTAGGTTAGTAAGTGATTATTTAGTTTTTTTAGGCTGACGGTTTAGACACAGGGTGATCCACTTCTACGGTGCTCAAACCCGGGCGACAGTAATCAAAAGATCAAGGGAAACTCAAACCACTGGCCTTTGTTCAGATCAAAACGCAATTCAACGACAGCCACTGAGGTCCTTTTTCAACGTTTTTATCCATGAGTATCCTGAAGCCCTGATGTATAACAAACACATTAATCGGAAACCAGTATTCCTAAGAATGAAACATGCATCTGCACAAAGAAACTCACCAGAGATATTTGACTGTTGCTTACCTGAATCCTCTTAAACAGGAATGTGACTAGACGGATCGCTTCGACTTTTCGCATTGCTAAAAGTCGGCGTCGCTCGTCTAGCATAATTTTCTGTTTCAACAGCGAGTCCTTCTCTTGTTTACAACGCTCAGTAGCCTGTGTCAGAAGGAAAAGATGAATAAAAGTGTGAGTGGAGGCAGATGAGGTCCGAAACAGCCTTACTTATCAATGATCATCTCTATCCTGCTGCTCTTCACCGGGAAAAACTATTTTGGTCACTAACGAAAAAGATCATCCCTAGATTATGGAACCCAGTTCTGACAAACCACATGCAGTTCAAGGTCTCTGTGCCTCAAACTAAACTCAAACAAAACATCGCTGACATTGTGGTTCCAGAAAATTACAAAGGGGCCGATCAAAAAGAGATAGAGATATTGTACTCACACGCTGTTTCTTCCGTTCAGCCTTTGCAGCGCGCTTCGCGGCCTGCTCGGCTTCAAGAGCCAGTGCTTCGGCGCGACGACGCTCTTCAGCTTTGCGCTTTGACTCTTCTATAAGACGTCTCCGCTCTGCTTCGGCTTCGGCGGCTACCTTAGCTTCCTCGCGCCTGCGATGCGCGATCTGGATCAAGCGTTTTCGTTCAGTCTGCCGCTCATAAATGGCAGCTTTAGAGAGGTGTTTGTTTCGGTCGAAATCAAGCTGGAATGAGAACAGAATATTGTTGGCGGTTCACCAACAGCTGAAAGGACCGCGCGCAGTTAAATCTTCACAACAAATTCAACCCGTAGAACAGGACGCTGTCAGAGTCATTCTACAGTGGATATGATTCGTTTACATGAACAACCTGGGAGCTAGGTAAAGTAAGGGGTAAATACGTTTAGCATCAGATAGGGGGCAGAGCCGACACAAACGATTTTGTGTTTGTTGTCGAAGGGAAATGTGAAATACACCCGTCAAAACGCAGTCACAGTAGATATCCAGTCACGGAAGACGATTCATTATCATACCTTCAGTTCCGCTGTGAAGTAAAGCTTAGTTTTTGCAACGTCGTTGAGAGAGGCAGGAGCTGTCGCATGCTCGGGTGCGTAGACCAATTTCTGCCCACGGAGCCCTTCCATGGCCTTGGTAAAACCAGTGTAGTCGGAATATTGTATATAAGCCTCGAAGGTAAGAGGAGAAAGGGTTGAAGAACTTTTAGATTGCTCATCTGGTGATACTGATCCCAATGTAGCATTTATAATGCTATCTGGAATGCGCGATAGCACGCGAACGTCATTGGTCACCACTGAAATCGTATCCGGTCCAATTTTTCCGAATCCCCCAACCGTCTCTTCTGGTGAGTCATTTTTAATTGACTCCGTCGAGCGTGCGTGTGTGCTGGGAAGACCGCCCAATTCATCTAAATACTCGTCAACACAGCTGGGATTCTGAACAGGATCAAGCATTGGAATGTCCACCACTCGTACCGCACCAAAGTTCTAGAAACAGGGAACACAAAACATAAGTGCGTCCAAAAGTGCAGCCTTTACTTCGAATCCAAACTGTTCAAAACGATCTCACTCGACATATGTGAAATGTCTAGTGAAACAAGGGTAATGAATTACCTGCAGGAGCGGAACACTACAATATTAATGCTACTTACTACTATTGGGAATGTAGCTACTGGCAGGATGATTGTACCCATTGCCAACCATATGGGAAGAAGCGACAATATGCAATCGGGTGTTCAAGTCCTCTCTACAATCGACTGTGGGTGATTTTCGCAACAACATGTTATCCATGGTAAATGAACACCAAGTGTGACATCTGATTCTCAATAGAAAGTTTGCACCTGGAAATTCACTTGAGGTCATCCTCTGATGGTAGATACGTCGGGCACTTTTCTTGTTCAAAGGGAAACACTCTTCCAGCACGAGTAGATAGTAGGCCCAAAAACAGAAAACTTGTCGAATTTCCAGTGATAAACCAGAACGTTCGTGCTTAAGGCCCAATGTGGACAACCTAAATGCATCCCAGCCCTAGTGCTTTCCTAGTGGCTGGATATCAGAGATGTCATCACAAAAAAATTTCATTTGCTTGCTCTCCATTGTGGTAGCAGTGGTGAGGATCATGACAACCATAGACTTATTTTATCAGCTGAATGCCTACGTTGTTTAGTGCAAGCAATCTAAGGTCGGCGAAATATAGAACCATCAAGTTCGACGATATTTCTGGTTCTCTCTGGTGTGATGTAATTTTCATAGCAGCGGTGGCGCAGGTATCGCAGCAAAAATATCACAAAAACGAGTGAGACGATGCTGCCCATGACGGCTAACTTGATGCAAACCTGTGCAACCGACATGACGTAGGCTACAGATCTCGAGACCGAGATCAAAATAGCTGAGTGCGAACTTGCTGATCCATGGTTCGAACCGAACATCTGCATCTCGACTGCTCCCGTCTAGGTTTTGGCAACCTGGCAGCATCTCGGACCTCGTACTTTCCTTAGGTGGCACAGCAGCCAGACACAGGATGGTACACCTGAACGATGACTATTTATTATTAGGCTGAGGCAAAATAACGGAGATAACTGTAATGTTGGAGGAATTTAATCACATATTTGGTTTTCCTTAGTACCTGTTCAGTGGGTAGATAAATGGTCGTAAACATACTATGAACGCGAATTTCAGGAAGAGTCTTCAGTAAAAGGCAAGCAGAAAAGTTATCATCCAAACGGCCTTTGAAACCCACTTCAAAAACCGCCTTGACAACGGAGGGATTTGGTCGGTCCAGTTTCTGGTCTGGTAATGGGATTTCTTTGTTAACATCTAGTACGGAAGACTGAGCAAACCAACGAACTGGGAGTCCGCTGATAAGTAGAGTATCAGGACGCTCTCCTGGTTTTGTCTCATCCATGTCCTCCGCATCGCGAAAAAATGATTCCCAATCATGTCGCCGAGGACAATCCGGCGAAGCTTCGCTTGCACGAACATGAAGGTTCTGTGGAAATCCACTTAACTTAATGTACTAAAAAAATAAGTTTGAAAGGACCAAGTGAACAGATTCGAATACACAAACCATGGTTATGAGAATTCGGCTGTTATTTCGCCATGATGATTAACAGCAACGCAAACTTCAATTGAAGTGCAATTGTGCAATCATGGAACGCTGCCTCTGTAGTTCAGTACTTCTGTCAACAAATTATAGACAGAATAACCCGCACCATAATAACGAAGTAGCCTTTAAAATAACGCTTCTTTGGGTAGATAATCCACCAGGACCTTTCGGATGTATTCCTCAGGTGGACCCACTGAGCTGTCATGGCTCATTCATTCTGAACATCCCTTATTGTCATGGTTTATCACCTATCAACTACTGACTCGTACCAGAACCGCAACCAGGCCGAAGGCCCGCTGTCAACCGTAACCAATAAATACACTAGGATTTCACACTATTTGTCTCGAGGTGGCGGAGGAATGTACACATGATGGTTATCACTATCTGAAAGGATCATTTTTAGGTGGTCCATTGGCACATACTTCGATAATAAACTCCCTCACAGAATGGACCATCAGGCTTGCAAAGTGCTCGAGTATAGGTCAGCCACCATTTGTACGCGTTTAGCAGTTACAGATCCTGCAACTTCGTACCGATACCCACAAGGGGTGACTCAGACCCCGCTTGAGAGTGATACTCTTCGCTCCACACATTCCGACGTAATTCGAGTACTGAAAACTACGGAAGAAGCAAGACAATGTGCCACGCGTCTCCACATTTGTTTCTTTTGGCTACTGGGTGCCTGCGTCCGCTTGTCAACGGTGATATCATCACACTATAACTACTGACAAAAGGAAAAAATCCGAAATAAAAGCCTAGCGCTAACTGATCATAAACCGTTCACAGTATTGTGAGAACATTTGGTCGTTGCCGGTATAGATTTCATTCTGTCGGTGAGGCTAATCTACGCTGAAAAAACTAGAAGCATTGTACAGCTGTCTCATCCCTGTTAGGAATCACTAGCAGTGCGCACCTCACGAAGCTCATAGAGTTTCAAACGAGCAACCATTCACCCAGTGGTTGATCACTTAGCTGTTTAGCTGAGAGTGACTGATCAACTATACTCACATTACTATGAAGCACAAATCAGGTCAGAGGAAGGATAACCTCAGTGGATTGTGAAACTTCCTTCTGAGAAGTCGCCGCTCGATGAGCCAGTCAATAAATGGCCACGTGATGCGGTTTCCTGTTACTGAAGGATGAGGGAGGCTATGTTATGCCTTGGTAATTACACTGCTGTCACGAAGAGACTGAACCTTGCAGTGGTGTGACGGTTTGTGAACCTCAGCGAACCATTAGGCTATATTGGAGGGTGTCGGTGCGATACTCGAAGTCTCTCATACCGGGTTGAACAACCATTAGAGGACTGCCCAACAGTCTGCTAGTCCTCCAGGTTGGGGGTTGGAACATGTTTGGCGACGTGTTCCGTAAAAATGGTAATCCACTTGCATTTACAGCCCAACACCCCTGCCTTGCGGTTAGGCTTTTGAGCCAAAGGCTTTAGTTGAGGACCCTAAACGTCCTGTCTACGTCTCGACGTCCTGGCAGTATCCCAGCCGACGTACAACCATCAACCGCACACATACAAATGTAAAAACGCCACATCGGCCGTCGCGTGGAGCCGCCAGCCGGGTCGTCTTATTTGTTGTATACGGCATGGCGGTTAAGCAAAAACAGACTACTGTTGGCGTCTCCATTCTTTCTCTTTCGTTTGCTTTTTTACCCCTTCTCCCCACCCTATTATTACCTCTCTCCCTGTAGGCCCAGCACTTAGGACTGCTGACTCTGTTTGCCTCGCATCGGTTTTGCGTGAAAAAAATGCTCCCCATATAGTACCGACATTCCCTGGCATTTCGAAATTTTCACCATCTAGCAGGTTCTGGAATGGCGACATTGGTTGCACCCTCAGACACTATGGCGGTGTCTGTGGAGCAAACGTGTCCACCATAAATTCTTGACCCTCCTTAAGGCACTGTACGCCAACTCCCGCGGACGTGTGGTCCATGGAAAGCCTTCGCCTGAATTCACTACATCAACTGACTGGTGTCGGGCAAAGTTGTACTCTTCAACGTCGTTATTCACAGTATTCTGAAAGACTAACACCAAGAATCTAATACCCGTGGGGTCGAAATGCTCCGAGGGCATTCGCTCACAGATATCAGGTACATAGATGATAAGCGTTCAGCTGTAGCACCCTTCCGGTGCCTAGCTGCCATGCCACCCGAAGGAAGCACGAGGGCTGGGATACTGCCAGGTTGCCCAAGCCTAGACAGGGGAAGTCGAGTGGCGGAGGTCGGATTCGAACCACGAACCTTCCGGTCAGTAAATTCGCGCTCTAACCACTCGGGCCATCTCGCCCCATTCGCTAAGGAAGTGAACGCTTGGCAAAGTGTGAAGTGCTGCTGCGCGGCTGAGTGGACTCAAATCCCAAACGCACGTTTCCGAATGGGCCAGTTGACATAGAAGACGAATTTGTCCACCTGAGTAGTTGTATTAGTCCAGGTGGTCTCGCGAAAAATAACGTTCCCGTCCGGATTGGGAAGGACAGAGCATCTTTTGCGACGTAGCATCACCTGTGGCAGATGCGTGACATCAGCCCATCCGTCAAGGGTCAAGTTTACAATACTGTGATGCACTCCAAAATAAAATATGGGTCAGAAACTTGGCTGCTGCGCGCCGTGGACATCGAAATACTTTCAGTGTTTGAGCTCCAATGTCTCCAGGGCATTGCTCGACTCTGGTGGGAAGACAGAAGCAGTAATGCTGAAGAACGTCGGAAGCCCTTCGAAAGAAATAACTCGTCTATGATAGATAAAGTGATCACATTCCATAGGTTGTGCTGGTTTGGTCACGTGCTGCGTATGCCGGTCGACCGAATTCCTTGAAGGACTCATTTCGCACAACCAAGTGGAGGGTAAAAGAGAGGCAGAGGCGGTCAAGCAATGACTTGGCAGCGAAGTGTAAAAGCTATTACCAGAAAACTCAGCCGCGCTGGCCATTGCCGTCTTTCTGGATGGGTACCCCAAGACGGGACATATCAATGGTTAGGGATGGCCCAGTCGCGTTCGAGCAAGCGATTGCCCTCAATACATAGCCCTCCTCACAGCCTCCCAACTCGAAGTCCACTGAAATCCCGTATTTACACACCAATTATATCATCTACCGCCTCCAATGCGCAGCCATCTACCCCACCTCCCCAAACCAACGGTGAACGAAGCTGTGGCATCAACAACCACTGTAAGTACGCGGTTTTTACGGCTGATGATTTGTGTGAAGACGATACTAAGAACATCGATGACCACCTGCGCACCAATGTACAAAAAATGAAACATGCTCATCGACAAGGAAATGGGGCAGTAGCCTTCCAAAAATTCAGAAAAAACACGGAACAGATGAGTGCCGCCATTTCTGATGTTACCTGAAAAATTATCAGCTTACCTGGTATATGGGTCATAAGATCCATGCCCCAAGACCAGCTACATAGGGCCAAGACTTAGGCCTCGTGATTTTAAAGAACTGTGGCTGATGGTTGGTGTCGTTACTGAGGGCAACACCAGATGAAAACACTTGCGGTTTGCTGCCGTATAACCATGACATTTTATTTCAATAAAGCTTTATAGTCGGGAAAAAAGTAATGGGGAGGGGAGGAGGAGCTAGCCTAGTATAAACCTCCAAAACTTAGTCAGATAAGCGTGATAAAAACTGACGGCATGAAAACCACTAGCATTGGTTGACCACCATATCATTTAGTCTCTCCAGCCAAGAAAAATAACGTATACAATCCTGGAAGGTCAAAAAACACCGAACGTTTACATAACTGTCATCTAGTCGTTGGAATTCTGGCGGAAGTGCTGCCAGCGGTTACATTTACAGGACTGAAACGATCACCAGATGGACACCCTCACTAGCGCATAATCGGAAGCTGCTATCTTCGTGTCAGTACGGATCGTGAGAAGAGAGACAACGCGCTACGGGACTTGACCGTGTGCTGGTTAGTTGGGTAGAGAAATAGTATAGATTTTGTGCTACTTCCTTCTAATTAACTGAACGACTGGCCGGCTGACTAAGTAAGAGGGTTTATGTTCACGGGTGCGGTCTCACTACAGGACCAACTAAACTAAACTAACAATGCCGTGAAAATACTGCATGGAAAATCATTCGGACTGAAAAACAAACCACTCGTACGCAGAAAAACCATGTGAAAAATACTCAATACGGCCACTCGGATTGGTGTGCATCAAATCAAAGTACAACTTACCTGACTATCCAAACTTGTCACTACGCGCTTTACGTCCGCCTTGCACTCAAGCTCTGCAATTAAACGAACAAACTCACGCGTAGTGCGTAAAACACGGATATTTGTGGGTGGGGATAAAATGCCAGGACAAAGCTGCCGGAGCTTTTCAATAACTTCCCAAGTGGTAAACGACCTTATCTGGCCACTAGTATCATGAAGGGTGGGCAACTGAACAGTTAGGTTAACCCTGGCAATGGGTTTTAGATACAGGTTATAAGCCTTGGCAAGAACCCGTAGTTCAGGTGCCCCATCTACCTTCTCCGCGTGCGCCCCTATGTCCATATCCCCTAGTAATGGGAGCGAGCTTCACGACAAAATAAAAATGTTGAACCCCGCTCAGCAGTTTAGTTCAGTTCATCGGATTCAGAGATTCACGGATTAATACACAGGATCGAGGCTCTTGCCCAAGTTTCCCGGGTCGGTTTTGTTCTTGTCGTTCAGTGGCTGTCGTTCACCTGAAAGGGACAAATGAAAAAGGGGTGTAGCACTGCTCTTTGTGTTCTCAGCGCGGGCAGTATGCTCGCCAGCGTGAGGATTCGCATAAATAAATGTCTAGTAGTGCTTTGAACTGGGTTCTAGAAGCAGCGTGGACAACCATCGGACGAAGGTCATTCCACGCAGCTACTACCCGGAGTGCGGAAAAATTTTGCCTGATGAGTGTGTGCGCTCTGAGCTTGAAAATCTTCTTACTATGTTCCCGCCGGGCGTTTGGTGGGTTAACGGTGAAATCCTGTTTGCCAAGCTTTGTTCAAACATGGCATAAGCAAGAATTAAGTCCCCTCGGAGGTGACGACGCTCCCGAGAAAGGAGAGCAAGCATCACGAGATGCATTTCGTAGTCCACGGATTTGAGGCCGGCAATCATTCTCGTAGCGGCTCGCTAGATACGCTCAATGAGGGTGATGAAGCCAATGGTTGGCAGCCTATTGAATAGAACCACTCCTAAAGACACCCAACGCCTTGTCTCCCGTGGAATTTGATGAAGAAGAGGATCGCCTATTTTATAATTCCTTAACTAGAAAGCATGCTCTGGATTCACCCTACAAAGAATGCATCGCTTTGTCACAGATATGACATATGACGAACGGGTGAACTAAATGTTGCACATCCAATAATTACAGGCCCCCGGGTTCGAAGTCGGCCAATATTTACGGTACGCCCATTTTTCTGGCGTAATATTCGATGGCGCAACTCGGTGCCAGTGTCAAAGCTCTGACATTCATTTTAATCATATAGAGATGCTATAGCACTACTTTCATGCAGTGCGTGGGTGAACCTCCACACTCGAAGGCAACTCTAGGCGCACTAATGTCAAAATACCCTCTTACGATACCAAAGTACACGTGCCCACCATTTAGCTGAAAGTTCATAGAAACACTCAAGCGTTTCGTGGTGCTATGGACCTCATCTCCAGTTGTGCGAGTTCAACAAACCACGCTCGGCCACGGGCCACCATCCCACCCGTTTATTGGAGCAAAGGTTACGAGGAGGGATTTATGATAACTGACGAAGCTCAGCTACAAAACAATTTACACTGGTCTTGTCTGACTCCGTACAACATTGTATCTTTTTATAAAAAACGCTATTCCAGAGATGCATTCAAGTCTGCTCCGCACGAAGAAATTCACCTAACGCACAAGGGCCCAGTAAACCATGATCAAAAAGGGGCCTAAACATCCCAGTATCTAGTTATGCGGTATTCAAAACTTGTGGAAACCCTGGCTTCCTATTTGAATGTGTGCAAGATCACTATGACAGGCGCGAACTGGTCCAATTTTAAAGAAGGTACACGCATCTAAGGAGCCACAGGCCTACGCGGAATCACGAACACGGCCAGTAGTTGTTGGAACTACCTTGCATCTAAAGCCGTAATGACCTGAGATATGATTTTATTAACTGTGGTATGAAACAAACGAATAAGCTTAAAGCTCATCCAGGATTACCATTTAATCACACTAGTCATTATTGCAGGACGTAATATCGACTCCAAATTAAAGGAAGCCAGATATATTATAAAGTAGTCCGAAAACCCCTAACTTGCAGTTGACAAATTGCGTCACCTCCTGCATTCTTCTTCATTCTTTGGTGCACCGAAATCGGACGGAAAATGAGAGAAACACTATAAAGCAGGAATTTTAAAAAGCAAAGCTAAAGATGTTGATGGAAGAATTCGAAGCGAAAACAAATGCCTTGAACTTCGGCAATATCCAGTTTGAATGACCTGGTTGTCCACTTCACCAGGCCTACAATCTACATCCACAGGATGTCTAAACGGGCCAACAAACCAGCGATCTTATGTCGGCTTCTTCCTGCCCCGTATTTTGGCCAGCCTGAAAAGACTCATGTTGCTCAAAGAATCGCGCACCCCAGCCTGATGACCTTTATTGTGACGTCCGTCACGGGGCTGCCAAAAAGCCGAAGAATGTCGGGCCAATGACGGCACGGCACTGCCATATCCAGTTTGATAGCATACCCACAACTATTCCTTTTCTACTCCTGATCATACTCTCTTGTCCACTCGTCCCATCAACTGCAGATACGAACGAGCCCTTCACCAAACCAAGGCTGCCTCCGTGACATATACTTTCCAATCCGTTGAACCTTTCGTTCGAAGTATGCCATATCCTGATAGCATACCCACAACTATTCCTTTTCTACTCCTGATCATACTCTCTTGTCCACTCGTCCCATCAACTGCAGATACGAACGAGCCCTTCACCAAACCAAGGCTGCCTCCGTGACATATACTTTCCAATCCGTTGAACCTTTCGTTCGAAGTAACCCATTTGTGTGCCTGTGCTTTCCACAAAATTCGATAACTTTCTCTACAGCTCGTGCTCTGGCTTTTGCGTTGCCATCATATCACTCTCCCGAAGAACCATTATGTCTGGCTCAACAACAACAACACTAGTGAGTCTGCAGCTTCACTGTACATAATGTTGCTGAGATTCCTGATACCACTCATCCGCTTTCATGATCCCTCCAGTTCATCGTCCCCACTTACGCTTTTTGTGACCTTGGCCATAGCCCAACAGTCCAACTCCACGAGGCCTCAGAGATGGCTTTAGGTTTTTGTTCATTTTCATGGGCTGAATGACGCCAACCCCGCTGCGTCGTCCGATCTGACTTTCGGTTCCTCATTTTTCACGATTTACACTCTTCTCGTCATGTGTCATGCAGAATGCCTCTTGTTTTTGCCCTCCACTTTGTTTTTCCCGCCACCTTCAAATCCTAACGATCTGATCTTGCTCGGTATTCTCTCCGAAACGCATAGTAAACGTTCTTCGCCGCCCGTGCCGGTTAAGTGTTGGCAACACCAACATCGGATAATGCTCAACCTCTATGACGCTGTCCCTGTTCCAAACCCCCTGTGCCGACAGTCCCCGCCAGTTATGCTTTCATTCTGACAGTATCATAATGATCATGCCTAAAGGTATATTATCCACTAGTTGGCAATAAACATTATTAGTACAAAAAAGTGGAGCGAAGACGTAAACAAATAGGTAAAGAATCATAAAAACACTAATATTTCATTCGATGTTTCCATACTGTTGCATTTATTTTTTGGGCGTTTCCGCAATGACGCCGTTTTACTTCAAGGCTACACCGACTCAAACGCTGCCGGAGGGATTCCAATACCGGACGTTTGTCCCTTTTTTCAATCCAGCGGTTCGGACTCTGGATAAAGTACTACTACTACTAGCGGCAGGGTGGAAAAATACGGAGATCAACTGTCTTATACAAACGTTTGTGAAGATGGTATCCTCATAGGAGGTGTTTACTTCGCTGAGTACCTGCTAGAAGTCAAGTTACATACACTACAGCAACCGGTCCGGCTCGTAATTCCTCTTGAAAGCAGCCCGGCAATGCGATGGAAGCATTTGGTTTCTCGCAGAAGTAAGACATCCTTCTTCCAAAGGGAGAGCCAAAAGATAAGCACCATGCAGTACAAGTAAAAAAACGCAACGTGACTTTACGGTCCTGGATTTTTGGAGTAACTGCATGAGTATAGATTCGCGCTGTTTGCACTGGACTGAATCATTGGATATACTGCAGAGCAAGAATTAAGTACTTGCGGCCATTTGGGTTAATAAGCCAGATTTGTGCGCATAACTGAGACGTGGCCGGTAGCGCATGACGCTCCATCAAGTTATCAGACGCAACATATCTGCAGGTGTACACGGCTTTTGCTGGATCCAGTTTATTCCTTGTTCTAATCGGAATTCCATACAATGGCCACCAAACTATGGTCAAATGCTCATCTTGGTGAACAGGATTCAGTGCGGTCAATTGATATCTCGGGAACTATTGTGCACCGGGGAGCAATCTAACCTTACGAAATCAGGTGAATTAGCATCTCATTCATTATATGGATGGAATATGTATACGCTTGTGGGTATGCAGTCACTTACAATGCGTGAAGTTGTATTGGGGGTTCACAATGAGGTTTTCAACTGAAATATGGTTGTACATAAGCGAATCATCAGTTTTTATCACTGATATCGCTCTGTTCATGATAATGATAGGGACAGTTAGTTACCAAACTTTCAACTTGGCGGGACATATGTGGATGGATAGGCGAAGCGCACTGTGGAGATGGATCATGTGGAAGCAGGGTCGATCAGTCACTTAGGGGACAAAAGCAGTAGTAGTATTTCGGCAGTGTCGCTTGAATGCGAGTCTAGCAGTTCCCGGCTAGATAATCATTATCATGGACAGCTAGGTTGCACCACGTGTAGCCGTCTTAATAACCGTTCGGATATTGTAAACATGTGCTTCAATACTTTTGCATAAACGATAATTTTGATTAGGCTGATACTTATGCGACAGACATGAAACTGAACCTTAGAATAGCATGAAGCAACGAGGAGCTTCCAGCATGTTATGTGCGTCTAAGAGGTGGAAGATCTTCCATATATAACCGGGTGCTGAAGATTACAAAATTATTGGCTTGCAAACGCAAGCTATTTAGCTGATAGATTTCCCAGAAAGCAGCCTCCAGTTGGCGGGACTGGTACTGCAGTAGAATATGAGATTTTAACAAGTCATAATGAGGACGATGCAGGGAGTGAATTTATTATTTGGTACTCCAAATGAAAACATTTGACGCCAAGTACACACTTACTGACTAAATCTTAGTTACGGCTGAATCCGTGAGTAAGGGCATTTGAGGACGCATGCGGTCCTTGGATTCCAGGGCTCTGGTCTATACCGCTTGATGTTACGACTGAACAGTATAGACCCCACTTGTTTTAGCATGGCCTGCGTCCAATAATGCGTATGATCACCGAATTCCGCCATCAAATCATCGG